GATGATGAAATCATCAATGATGACTTAAAAGTGGAAGGGTATACTAATCTTGCACTTCATGATTCTGACCAAGGTGCAACGTCTATAGCAACCACTGCAAATTCCCATGAAGACGAACATTTGTCTTCACCATCTTTGTCTGAATCCTCCGTGGTATCGGAATTCTTAATTTCTAACATTAATACTGATAGTGAAATTCAGAAATCTTTAAATAATGATGTTGAACATAATCTTGAAGAGGACGATGTTAAACATGAACAGGTTTATCATATTGAGAATAAAATTTTAAAAACATCTCAAATTATATCTCCAATTCCACAAATTACTGAAAAGCAAGTTATTATTACTCAAGAGAATCCTCATATTCAAAAGGTAATTAATTAATAATACATGATACTGTAAGGATAGACTAGTCCCGTCAGAAAAAATAGGTGGTCCCGTGATTTTTGAGCTCAGAATCATAAATGTTGAAGCTCCGACGTCACAGAATCACTGATTTTTCTGACATGACGAGTTCACTTGAATAATAATAGAATTTACTAAAACACAAGTGATGTTTAACACCAAAGTTTACCTAAAAAAACTAGCTATATGATTGGTATCTGATGCTCCAAGTAAAAACGTTCAATATCTCTAAAAACTCTAAATATTAACTTTTAACTCTAATTCCAATTTTTTTGATAAAATATATGTGGTGTTGACTATCATTGGTGTGCTTTAGTATTATTCATAATCAATGATAATAATTATTATCACCATAAAGTCGCGAAATAACGAGCGTGGGCATTATTTCGAAAATCGAATCCTTAAAAAATAACGCCATGGCATCTCGAAATAACGCGCACTTAATATAATATATTAGCAGATTTTGATATTCATAATTTGTTGATTCATTTATTATAGCTCGAAGAACTTCAAGCCGCCAAAACTCAACTAGAATCTAAGATTCAAGAACAATCACAGCAGATAGCTAAATTAACTTCATTAGAATCTATCAATGAATCTCTAATCAATACAAAAAATCAATTAGAGTCCAAAGTTCAAGAGCAATCAGAACAGATCGCTAAATTAACTTCATTAGGATCAGCCAATGAATCTCTGACAAACGTTAAAGACCAACTAGAATCCAAAGTTCAAGAGCAATCACAACAGATTGCAAAACTTACTTCATTAGAATCAGTAATGGTTCGTCAATTTGAGCTTGCTGAACGAATGGAGGAAACAATGAGACGATTAGAAGCAAAAGTCAATTATCAAAAAGAAGAGTTAGACGGATTATTGGCCGGTCGTATGGAAGATACTATTCGACGATTAGAAAATAAACTTAATGAACAAAGTAAAGAAGTAGAAGGGCTAAAATCTGTTGTAGGAGTGTTGTGCGTAAGCTTTTACATTTATAATTATTATTTGTAGTAGAGAGGTTTAGTATTTACAAAGCTTTTAAGATAACTATTCTATTCTAATGGCATTTTCTTTTATCATGTAGTCAAAAAACTCACCCTCAACAAATCTTGATAGCGGCAGAGCCGGTAAACATTATTCTTTTTTTTTTTTTTTTTTTATAAATTTTAATAAATCGCGAATTACAATATAACAACATTTCTCTCTTATTAGACATTCGATACTCAATTAGCTCAATTATCAGTAACATCATCACTCGAAGAAAGAACTCTAGCTCAGACATCATCACCATCGAAGATGACAGCATCAATAACGATGACAGAACAACAAACATATACGAAAGACACCCTTGTGAGTACATTGGTGGTTAAACCATTGGTTAATACTATCACGGTTTCAGCCAGTATTGCTACATCAGTCCTTTATGCAGTCTATGTGAGACCTGTTGTAGGTCTTGTAAAAGTCGTTAGACACGGACTATAAAAGGATAGAAAGAAGAAGATAGAGCTATCGATTTGGGCTTTCGAATCATTTTGTTCTTACACATTTTAAGAAAATGATAAACATTTAAAGCCCAAAAGACTGCTATATCTTTCTATAATTATTTATATACATACATTCAGAGTTTAGTATGTAATCTTTAGATAATCTTTAGAAACGATATCAATTTGTCAATTTTTAAAATGGACTATTGAAAGTATCTGTTCAAGAAACTTTTATATTTGCATTTTATTATTATTATTTTTTTTTTTTAATGATTTGCGAAATCTGTTCATTCTATGAAACATTATACCTCCTTTGGTCTAAAAAAAGAACTGTGTTGTTCACATTGAGCTTTTATTTATTTATTTATTTATAATGTAATAGATAGAATAGTTGTGGGTGTTAATAATGTAGTAAGCAATGGATTCGTATATTTCGATTAATAATAATGACGATAATATTTTCAAGCACGAAGAGCGCGTCTATATAGTGTAAGTATAGGTGCAAACATATTTACGTCACCAGTTACAATTCAACCAACTATATTAAAAAACAAGTTTGAAGAATTCTTTGAATTGTTGTTTCATACGTACATAGCTAAGTTACGGCAATGTGTCTGCACCTATAAGTCCTATAAGCGTAAGAATCATGTTTGTCTTAAATAACGTTTTTGAGCAAGTTTGAATGGCATTTCCATAAAAACAGTTTTGTCTTACTTCGACAATAATTTTACCGATAGTAATAGGTAATGATGCAAACGGTTAATAATAATAACTAGGCCGAGTCGAGCCGAACTGTTACTCTAATTAATTTGAGCTGAGCCATAAACGGTCGATGCGTATTTTTCTAAGATTACTGTCACCTTATTTCATAATCAAGTTCGTCTCACAAACAATTTATTTCACCGATAACTCATTTCACAAACGTTTAAATTGGTTGTCAAAAAATAGATTACTAAGATTTTCATAATAATCTATTTTTAGAGTTGTAGGTTTTCTTTTGACAACTAGTGTTTGTAGTCGATCCAAATTTATCGACTAGACTAAGTCGATATTTAAAAATCGGCTTAGCCGGCTAAGCTGT